CTTTACTGGCCATAACACAGGAAATCTGGCAAGTAAGTGCAAACACTGTAAACCAAGCAGGGGCCAAGAACAGAAAAGCAAAGGTGAGATGTAATCAACATTAGGAAAACCAAGGTGAAGAGTTAAGAGCTCCATGCCAAGAAACAATGCAGGAGGACCCAAAGGGATGCCTCCAACTTGCTACTGAATAAACAACTAATAAGAACGAGCACAGTATTGTGGGAGCAAAATCCCCCTTCTCTAAACACTAAGAACGGGCACCATTGAAACAGTAGGTTAAGAGTATGCACAACTAAGGAGGAAGAGACAAATTCAGACAAGTAAAACTCCATTCAAGAAGGTAAATAAAATCAGGATAGTGGTTGGGCGGGGGAGACAATTCAGTGGGCAAGAGTAAGTAAGCACAATGGCCTAAGTTAGAATCCCAGCACCACGTTGGAGGCAAGCTCTCTTCCACAGCATAAACACTAAATCCCTGCTGCATAAATTAGCTCTCATCTTCTAGCGAACCTCTTTGCTTCTTAGTCTTCTTCTCTTCTATTCTCAGTCTTTTCCAGTATCACAATAAATATGTGTTCTCTGAGAATATCCAGTATGCTATACCCTGGCCCAGGACTCTTGCGTGGACTTACCTGTCAGTTACTAGAGAAGCAGTTTCACTTCCTATCCCCATTTTACAGATGTGAAAACTAAGGTACCCAGAGATTAGATTGTCTGGAATCAAACCTCTGTGAGAAAGATCGATTTTAAAACAAAAAGTATGTCCCTATGCCTACATGCTGAGCCATGACTCTGAGATTGCCCTCTGTCAATAGGCATTGCGCTCTTCTCGCTGTAATGCTATTGGGAAATGAAAGTACCATTTCAGGATTCATATTAGCATTCAAACAGTGCCCCGGATGCCTGCATTTGAAGAGCTCTGACAACAATGACTGTGAGATCTGCTCCAGCCACATCAGATCCTGCTGGGACCTGGTAAACTGGACTCAATCCCAGACAATACACCCAATGTGCCCAGGAGCCAAACCGCAGCAGAAGCACGCAATCCTGTTTGACTCGCCATGCACTCGGGCAGCACTGTGGCTTCTGGAAGCCAAGGAAGGAATCCAAAAGGGGGTGGGGAGTGGGTGGGAGACACCATGCCTTAGGAACAGAGCGAGAAAATCAATAGGAAGGTGGATCTTTCAAGAGTCCCCGGGTATGGAGAGAGAGAGAGAGAGAGAGAGAGAGAGAGAGAGAGAGAGAGAGAGAGAGAGAGAGAGAGAGAGAGAGAGAGAGAGGCAGCAGGGCATCATGCTGGAGGGTGGACTTCAGTGGCTGAAGTGTCTACCATTGACCAACAAGGTAAATCAAATCTGCTGCCAATACATTCTTCTGCTGTCCAGATAAAAACGGCAGACTAAGCCGCTGAACTTTCACCCTTCACCCCCGCTCTTCAAGCCAAAGTACAGATTAAAAAAAATCAATAACCCCAATCGATGGGAAAATATTTTTAGTCTCTAACTGAACGATATGTTTTGACAAGGCCAAGGAGGAGCACAAAAGAATGGCAAAAGATAAAAGGCAGAAAATTAGGAATTTTCTTTATTGGGTGAGGTAGAAGCACCAATCACTCTCTCTTATCCCGGTGACATCCGTCCAAATTATCTCGCAGTAAAGAAATAAAATGTAAGGAGATGGATTTACAAAAACGGAATGATTCACCACCGAGCACCTTAAAACCTGTGATTGCTACCGTTTTCCGTGACCATTTCCACGAAGGCAATCCAGAGACGCCTCGGTTTAGACACAGTCGAAGGGAAGCGAGCCCCCAGTGTGGACAGAGCAAACAATGAATCCGCAAAGCCCTCTGCCTCCACCCCAGCCCGAGAAGGCATCCACCACTGAACACGTCAGAAAGTGTTTAGAATCCTCGCAATTTGGATCCATTTCCTCGCAAAATATCCACTGTTTTTCATAACCCAGGACCCTTGAGGCACTTTCATAACTGAGCAAATTAAACACATCGTATCGCTGGGTCTTGGGAAGCCTTGAGCGGTGATTTATTTTTGTGCCTCGCCTGAGCCGGCCGTATTTCCTAAAATTATTTCACTTTTTCCCATCTCTATTGAATAAAAGTGATGAAGAAACATGATACCCAGAAGGATATAAACAGGAGTTGCACAGCAAACTTGTTTGTTTTTGCACTAGACAATCTCGGAGCCAGAGAACAGCCTCAGCAACCAATTAACATGTTCAATTATTTATTCCCATCACAATTGGTAAAGAGATAGATTTATGGGATTCAAAAATCTATATAAACCTGATAGACTGGGGTTGCGAACACTAGCAGCCTGTTTTGCTTATTTATGCAATTTTCCCTCCGATATCAATACCCCATCTGTTGTCCCATGGCCTTTGAAGTGAATTTAATGACTGTCATTTGACTACAATTCCATATTTGGTTCTTTTATTAGAAGTTTAAATATACATTTCTTTTATAAACACAGACTCAGGCTGAGGGTCACCACTACATGCTGGCAGCCAATTCAACCCACAAAAATAAACTCAGTCAATTCAATAAAACAGACTGAGGCCAACACTTTGACATCGTGTGTTTTTTTGGCAGGCAAAGCATATCCATTCAAAGCTATGTGATTGGCCAGTTCTGACATTGTTAGGAAGTCACTTCATTGTTAAAAATCAACAGGACCACACAGCAGCTATCATTCTGGAGGATGAAGAAGTGTAAACAGGCCGGTTTCCTAAGACTGCCCCCATAAGATCACACACCCAGCCTTGTACTTGTGGATCCTATTTACCCAAGTAGCAGAAGTTCTCCTGAGCTGTTGCTACGTCTCCTAACAGGCCACCGGGATACTGTTACCAGTGTGCTCCCATCTCTCTAAGGATAAAGTCAGGCAGCCTTTCTTCTCTCTTCTGAGTGTCATATGTATTCACCAGTCTCTCTATGCCTAGCATCTTTACAAGCCTGATTTCATGTATCCTCAAAACAGGCCTACAAGACAAATAGTACTAATTCAAAACTGCACAAAAGATGAAGCAATTGCCTACGACTATACCAGCTAAGTGCTAGAGACAGTGGATAAATCAATGTCTCTCTGATTCTGACATCTATATCACTATCTCATTCATCTATGTTTCTACTACCAAGACAGAATAGATCTGATCAGATTCACTGTCTGTGGGGGTTGAGATAACCATAGACTTGTAGCTGATGATATCTCACTCATTCTGACATCTTCAAATGGACATGATGAACACGTTAAAGCCATTAACTATAATGAATGCATTATGCTACCAAGATATTTACATGTACATCAGGACCCTGGTTAAGGAATTCTTGTCCTAGCAAAGTAAAGGATCAATGTATTCTAAAGTGCACACAAGGGCATCCTGAGTATACTTCACCAGAAATGCCAGAATCCAGAATACTGACGAGGCCCACAAAAACATCTTTCCTTAGTGTTTTCCAAGATAAATTTGCAATATTAAATTGCCTTATTTCACACATCTACCCAAATGACTGTGTATAAAATGCATGCTTCCATTTGCCTATTTGTTTAGTCCTCTTTTCAAAGTGCCCGGAGTATTCTGGGCACGAGCTCTCTCCTTTTGAGGCAGCCGTGGTGGTTGATTGTTGAAGCGCTAATAATTGAAATGAGTTGGTAATTATGACATTGAATGCTTTCTCTGTAGCCAGGGAAGTGTGATGAGTGCTTGAACTAGCTAACAGAAACACATCAAGCCACTTCCAGGATAGCTATCATAAAATTCTACTATTATTATTATTGCTATCTTCAGCTGGTAAGTCACCACTGTGAAAACCCAGAATGCACCAAGCATCACTGTCACCTGCTCCTCCCATTGATCCCTTACTATTCAGAAGCACTTCAGTTTAGTGTCCACCCACCTGCCCACTCTTGCTTTAACGGCTTCATTATAGCCAAAGCCCATGACCAAGGCCAAAGCTTCTTCTGTTTCCTCCAAGGACTTTCCTGATTTAGATCTTGTTTAAACATCAATCCTTAATCTGTTTTCAGTTTTCTGTGTAGTTCAAAATAAGGATGTGCTTTCTTTTGCTTTGTTTTTCCTTTTCCTTCCCTCCTTCCCTCCCTTTCTTTTACTTCTTGTAGATACCCAGTTTCCCCAGCAGAGATTAGTGAGAACAGTTTTCCTTTCCCACTTTGTCTCCTTGTCATCCCTGCCAAGGGTTAGAATATACCTGGGCTTGGTTCTATGCTCCCATCCTGTTTCTTTGTTCTATATATCTACCTGGCAATACCATACAGTTTTAATCATTTTAGCTCTATAGTATATTTTTTAATTTGGTTGTGTGGTGCCTCCTGTTTTATTTTTTCTTGCCGTTGTTTTGGCTATTGAAGAAATTTAGTGACTCAGTATGAATTTTATAATTGTATTTTCTATGATAGTTTTGTGGTAATAATCTCAAATCTGTCAAACAGTTTGGTTGGTTTAATGATGATAATTTTTATAAGCTATGAACATTTTTACAATTATTAATTTGTGTCTCCTTTAATTTCTTTAGTCTATGTGTGGAAGTTTTTATTATAGAAGTCTTCTACCTTATTAGTTAAGTTTATTCCTACGTATTTTATTCTCTTTGAAACTGTGTAGTGTTTGAGGTTTTTTTTTTTGAGTGGTGTATTCTCAGGTATAGACACATGACTGATTTCATGTTTTGACTGTGTTTGCTGGAAGCTGCCTCTATTCATTAGTGCCATTTATTTTGTGGTATATTTGTTCCCTTAATACATAACAGATTGCATCATCTCTGGTAATGGTGTGTTCAACTTATCATTCATATTATTAAAGTTAGCATCTCTTGTTTGCTTTTTATTTGCCTGGATGATTAAAGGTATCATCTTATTAAATTATAACAACTTCCATTTTCTGAGTAAGAAAATAAAAGAATTAAAGATTAAAGAGATTAAAACTATCTCCCCATGCATGGCAGAGCTAAAAAGTAGGACTCTTACCTCTGGAGTGATGACAAGAAGGAACGTCCTGGGGCTGGATCAACTGCTCAGAGGTTAAGAGCTCTGGCTCCTCTTCTAGATGACCTGAGTTCAGTTCCCAGTATCCATGTCTAGTGGATCACAGCATCTGTAACGCCAAGCCCAGAGAATGTGACACGACACCTGGCCTCCACAGGCACCAAGCACCCTACACATAAAATAACAAAATAATCTTGAAAGCAGCAATGTTCTACAACTCCAGGAGGAAGAAGGAACTATCTAGAAATCAAATGACAGCTCAAGCCTGCTTTCCAAGGGTGTCTTCCACCTTGAGGTTACCCAGGTAGACCAACAAGTTATTTCTAAATCAGCCACAACTGAAAAGTGGAGTTAATTGATTGCAAAGTCAGTGTTCAGTAGAACAACCCTGGAAATATCCAGCTTGAAAGACCACACAAATGTAAAGTTAGCTCTGTTTAAAGAGCTTCCCAGACTCCTGACAGACTTTACAGAGCTGTAGGGATATGATTCAGGATGACTCCTTCCACAACTCTTCTGAAGACATCCTGCTGTGGAATTTTTAATACTATCAGATCCTAGGACTTCAGATTCCCAGATAATGACCTTTAATGTTGAATGTAACAAGGAGTTATTTAGTGTTTGTGGCATGTCACAACAGCTAAAAGAGACAGACAGGGCTCAAGTGGCATTTACCAAGGACTTCTCAAAGTAATTGTGCTCTGCAACCAAAAGCTCCCAGCGCATTATAACACTTTTCCAACACACAAGATCATTTTCAAGGCTAAGAAAACCAAAACTGTAGATCCGCAAGGCGACATTGATGTCCTGTGAAACAGCAGCTACAAACCCACCTCTGAACTTGAACAAATTGTCTTCTTCTGTAGAGGAAAGTGGGAATAGGTCCCCAGTGGAAAAAAAAGGGGGCAACTACACTAGCATCTTTATGTAAACATTTGCATAAATGTTTATGAAAATATTTGTTTAACTATTTGTATGCAAATTTATATAAATATTACTGGATAAACCCTGTGTTCGGAATATATGCATCAAATATTACCCTTAATCCAATTTTGAAATGCAGTTTGGTTTTTTTCCTAAATTTACTTCAATAGTTCCACAAAGATGTAATCCAAGTCTAACACATCCTTCCTTCCATCACCTGTCAAGTCATTGATTGGCACAGAGAAAATATTTTAATTTGGTCTTGATAAATGAAAAAAACATTGATTTTATAAATGTACAGTTACCTTTGTCCTTTTGTATAAATCATAAATCAGTGTGATAATCAAGCCACATGACTGAAGCACATCTTATCCAACCTACCACATTCTTTCTCCACAGCCCTACCTACAGTTTCTTCAGATGGTAAAGATGTTCCCCATACGCTCACTTTTTTATTTTGTTTTATTTTTTAATTATTTTTTATTTAGGTTAGAAACAATCTTGTTTCACATGTCAATCCCAGCTCCCTCTCCCTCCCCTCTTACCCCACCCTCCCTAACAGGTTCCCCAGTCCCCCACCCAGTCTCCACTCCTATCCCCAAAGAGAGTGAGGCACTCCATGGTGGATCTCCGGTAACTGTCATTTCATCCAGGGCAGGGCCTAGGCCCTCCCCCAAGAGTGCTGGCTGAGAGAGCCTCCCATATTGTGGCATGGGTGTTCAAATTCTATTTGTACTCCAGGGATAAATACTACCCAAGACCCCATAGATTACTTAGGCCTCCTCACTGACAAGTGGTCCCCAGCAGGTGACGCTCTTTGGGGAGGTTGTCTAACCTTCAGAGTGGGGAGGGGTTTACTAGAGAAAGTGGGTAACTGGGCGCGGGTCCTGAGATCTGATGGCCTGGCGTCACTTCTTAATCACACTGAGCTTCCTAACTGCCAATACGATGTGCTCAGCTGCTGCCTGCCCTTACACCAAGCCTTTCTTACCAGGATAGAAGGTACACCCTCAAACTACAGCTTCATTAAACCCTCTTCTTTAATTGCTTCTGGTCAGTTACTTTGTCACACTAATGAAGAAAGGAGAAACCTAGATGGGGGCTCGGTTCATCATCCTGGGGGGCGGGGCGCACAGGAAAGATCTGTGGTCAACAGAATCAGGTAGATGTTTGAAATCTGATGAGTCCCCATAGGGGTTATGCAGGATCTGAAGTATTATTTTGGAAGTCATTTGGATAGGCCCGGGAAATGGTGTTACAATGGACCCAGGCATCATGCTGTAGAGCCTTTCAAGGAGGCGTAATGTTTCAGAGCCAAATTAAGTAGTTCAAGCCCCACAACTGACAAATGGAGAAGCACAGCCCAGGAGGACTGCAACCCACTTGGGCTCACACAGCAGGCAGATGGCAGAACCAGTCTGACTTTTCATCCACTCTAAGTCCTACCTCATCTTCAGTTCTTCATTCAGTACGTCCCCTGACTTCCCCCGGGAAAGGAGACCCTCCTCCTCCTCACCCTCCACATCATGCCTTGTAGACTTGTTTTCAGTGCTCTGTAGTGACAACCACTCTCCCCCAGGACTGTATGGAATCAGCAACTTGACAAGCACCAAACAGCCCCTAAACATCTGTGGAATAAGTAAGTGAAGGGAAAAATGAATGAATACATGAACCCCTCACAACGCATTCTCATTACTGTATATAGCCTTAATTTACTTATACAGGGAGAAAATTCTATCACAAACAAATCTTTTCTTTCCATTCAAAATAACTAATGAAAAGACATTGTAAAGACCAAATAAATGTGGTTTTTGAAAAAAATGAATAGATATTTCTAGAATGTCTGCATGCATGTTCACTTTTGAGACCTCTAACTCCTCACCAGCTGCAGCTCCTCTTCCTCATCTTCTTGTCCACTGCCGGTCACACAAAGAGAATGAAGAGCAGTAGGGCACCAAAGCAGTATTTAGTGAATAAAAGAGTACACATGGCCAGATGATCACTACTTATAATGACAAATTATCTATATAATATTTCAAAATTCCATCCAGAACGTAGAGGGTAAGTTCCCTCTAGAATGAGGAATTTGTTTTTCCTAGATAGAACTGCATCCTGTGAGCTAGCCAAAAAGCTGACTGTGGGGTATGTGAACCCAAGGGAAAACTTGGCCTCAGTTAAGAGGTTAAGAATCTTTCCCTCCCAAATATGGGTATAAACCGGGGACAAATGGCACACCATCTGCTGCCTGCTCAGCAGCAGGGACCTTGGAGCCCAGGTACCTGCTACCTGTGCTGAAGCATGCTGTCTGAGTTACACCTGAAGCAAAGCTACCCACTGCTCGAAGAGAGCACATGGTTACTAGTGCAGCGGTGGCCTTCCCAGATGGCCAGGATGTTCTGACCTAAATGCCCTGCAGACAGAAGGCGCTTTTCTGAAATACCCTGTGTAGCCATTAGTTAAGTCTACAAAAGAAAGGGTTAATATTCAATTCTGGGCAGAGAGCACTGCCTGCATTATGTCAAAAAAAAAAACCTTCATGGAAAAGAAGAGCTCTAACTATTGTGCAGAAAATCGCTACCCCTTCTGATCGATGTGCCTTACTGCCAGGGCATCCAGTAATTTCTGATCCTGTCACCTGTAGCCTTCACTTCAATGACAGGGCACAGCAGGCCAGGGGCAGACAGCAGCCAGGCTCTGCATGGCCAGGCATCAGCACTCCCAGGAGCTGTGAGTGTTGGGGGCAGGGGTGCACACAGCCAAGGGGAGGTCACCAGGGTCACACTAGGACTACTTTAAGCCATGGCCCGGTCCTCCATCATAGACTCAGAGTTCAAAGGACTATTAGGCCATAGGTCATGGATCTCATCTCAAGGTGATGGTCACCTCTGGCCCTTCAGCATCTATCTTGGGGCAGCTACACCCATGCCACGAGCAGTGGGCACTCTTAGTGATTCAATGGTGGGTCTCTGCCTGTGGAGGAAGCTTAAAGAGTCTGTACCCCACAGCCTCCCATGTGAATTTTCCTCTCATCTTTGCTCCTGCTAGTCCCAAGCATGTTCCAGGTCTGAAATCAGAACCTGTGGGACGTTCAATTACTGACTGTGACTGTACCAGCTTCTTACCTCTGCTGGCCTTTTTCTTATCCTCACTCCACATCTTGTCCCAGCTTTGAGAACCAGCCCACCTCACTATTGCTTTTTTCAGGGCTTCCCTCCTCCTATTCACCTATATAAAGCCCAACCTGGGCCACACAGAGAAATGAAGACAATCCCCCTATTGTCTTTTGCTGTCATATCTCATTATGGAAAAAGAACATGTTGCTCTCAAACCTTAAGGAACCTCTCCTCACCTTCTCCTTTCGAATAAGCAATAGTTGCTTGCTTTGGGTCATTTATAATTCAATTTTGAGTCATTCTTATTCCACAAGTATCTATTCTGAAAAAGAATAAAAAAGCATCTTTCAGCATATACACAGCAAGCACTCTGTATGGTGCTCTAAGCTTTTTAATCTGCAGAACAACCAAAAAGGAAACCCCTTCTTTGGAGTGAGAGACAGAGGTACAAAGTCCTTATAAACAGCCACACATCCACTGGGCATACGCTGAACTAATATAGGCCACCTGAAGGATAGTTGGATTGTCCTATGAATAGACCCCACAGTTATAATCAGTAGGAATTATTCCCAGACCACCTCAGGTGGCATCCACAAATCACATCTATACCTGATGGTCCCTCTCCACCTTAATAGTTTCCAGAGAAAGGAATCTTATATCCCCTCTAGTAATCTTGAAGAGCTGTGGTATCCAGGAAGGAAAATGTTATGTTAGTTTAGACATAGAATACCCAGGTCACATCTTCTTCAAAACCGTATTTTTTCAATAATATTGTGTTGTGGGCTGGAGACATGGCCCATAAAATGAGATAAATTCCTACTCAATCATGAAGACCAGAATTGAATCTAAACACCATATCTGGTGGCTCACCGGTAACTCTGCCTCCAAGAGATCTAACAACCTTTTCTGGTCTCCATGGGTACTGTACTCAGTTGTACACACACACACACACACACACACACACACACACACACTATTAATTTTTTAAATTTTAATGTTGTGTTGCTTGAAATATACTGTTCTTGTGCTGCTTCTGGAGTCTTAATCAAGACATCATTGCCCAGGTCAACTA